TTGATAGAATGTCTGAAACTATTTATACTGTTATTTGATAGCCAATCAAACTAAAAATTTCTCCTAGGAGAGCTCAGGCTCAAGATTTTTTTGGTCCAGTTAAACCTCAACAGATGGATTAGAAGGAAGTGAACTCATCTCTCCATCAATATCTAATAGTATGAATACTCCAAGAATTTGAATACCATGAGGTTTTAATAAATAATTTGTATTATATTTATTATTTAATAAAAATTCTTCTTGATGTTTTTCGATAAAGTCAGAGACTCTTCAAGAAAGTACAACCTATAGTCTAGCAATGATAACTGGGATAGTTTCATTTTTAAAATTCAATTTATTAACAAATTTTTTTGTTGTTGTTGATAATCTCATCAAAATACTTTCGAAATAACTTTTCACAGCGTCAAAAAAGCATTTTTAATCTTTTGCATTCCTAATAAAATTTCGTTTTTTTTTCTTGAAATAATTTTCAAGCATGATCAAGAGTTATTTCTCTTTAATATTTTCTAATTTAACACAAAATGTTTCATAAGGCTCATTATCGATTGTTACATCTTGAAATGGAATGACACAATCTTCTTTTAATTTTGCTAAACTGTTGTAATTTCTTTGATTATTAAAACACTTGAATGGTTTTCCTATTGCCATTATTTATTTTGCTCTCAATTGAATAATTTCTATGGGACTTGCTTGATTCAATATCTTTACACTTTTAATAATTCTCTATAATTGCATTTAATACATAATGAATACATGGATGATTTTATTTTCTTTTTGCTTCATTCATTTTCTTCGACTTTTTCAAAAACAAATCACTATTAAAATTATTAATCTTTAATGCATTTTCAAATTTATTTGAATTTTCTTTTTTTAATGTTTATCAATATGCTCTAAGAGAGAAATGAAATAAAATATTTGTTCTGCTCTATGGAAAGCGGTTTTTGTTTTAGAGTCATCACCTTATTCATTAATATTTACATGCAATTCTAATAAAAATTTCACATCAACAATGTTTCCTTGAAAAAATCTTCTTTGCAAAGCAACTTCTAAATTAGACGTTTTATATTTTTTAAGTGTATCAGACTGATTATGCATAACTTCTTGCTCTTTGCTCTTGTTTAAGAATATCTATTATTAAAGACATGATTTTTGAAGCATTTTCATGAAATTCCGAATGCATACTAGGCGAAATATGTTTTTGAAAAATTTTTAATAATTTAAAAAATTCTATATTAAAATTAAGAAAATAATCAATAATTTTCTTAATCTCTTTCATTTTATTTTGATAATTAAATTTTTTATTTTTCAATAAGCTATCATTGATTTTAAATAAGTAGAAAATCGATTTAAATATTCAGCATCGATATTTATATTCAGAACGTAATGCGATAGATTTTTCGTTTGTAATAAGTTAAGAATTTAATTCTTAGAATCTTGTAAAATATTAACTAAAAAATTCATTTCTTATCTCTTTAGTCAAAGTATCTTGATGAATAGATTATATTCAAATAGTTGAACTATTTCTTAACTTCAATATCATTTTTAATATTTTTCTCATCTACTAAAGTATCTTCATTTAATTTAAATTGGTGTCTTCATATATTTTCTTTTAATTTATCGATTTTAATGCTATATAAAGTCTTGAAAAAAAAACTCTTTTATATAGCAGTTTAAATTCTTCCTTGCATGAAATTATACAATAATATCATTAGGATCAATTTTCTCTAGAATCCTATTTGATTATCATTTAAGGTTTTATGAAAAACATATTCTCCATTAAGTTTTACTAGAATAGAACTATTTTTATTTCCTTCTAATTTTTTAAACGTATTAACTTTTCAATTAAATCAATTACAAATGGATTAAAATAAAGGATTTTTTTTAAATTAGATAATTGAGATTTTGTTTAAAAAAATTATTTAAACTATTATCAAAGATAAGTTTCGATGAGATACAATCATTAGAAGTTTTGTTTTTTGTATCTGTTTTAGTTTATTTATTGGAATTTGTATAACTATGATCTAATTTAAATAAAAGATTAACTGATGATTTTAATTCTCGATGTAGAATAGATTTAGTAACTATTTCTTCTAGTAAATTAAGGTTTGAAAGACGTTTTTAAATAAATCAATGAAATTTTGAAGATATTATCTTTATTTTTGTTGATTTTCCTTATTTAATAAAATTGTAGATTCTAAACTATTATAAAAAAAGACTTCATATTGATTTTTGTAATATCGTTCAATATCATTTATATAAACAAATTCTGTTGTTTTCTTCTTGCCACTCAACTACAAGTTTAAGAACACTTCCAAGATCATGGAATTTGCCATCTTTAATCTTACCTGCATATTCACCGTGATTTTTAAAATTATAATCATATCCATCAGGTTTATCATCTTTTCATGAACTAGAATAATATTCTTCTTCATCATTAATACTAGATGTACTTTATCCTTCACGTAAGTTTTCGTTAATTGTACCATAATAAATTTTGTTATCGATCGATAAAATATGTTAATAAAATTGATCTTCTTGACTTTTACTCATTGAAATTTCAGGCAAATATACTATATCAACAATATCATTTTTATCACTATACGACTATATTCATCATCATTTTTACATCTTATATCTTGAAGAGAAGATTTCTTTTCAACTTCTTTACTTTCAATATTAACAAGATTTAAGTTAGAACTTAATGATGGATTTTTATAAATTAAAATCTCTTTCTTTTTCATGATTCGTCATTATTTTCTATTATTATCGCTTAGTTTAATCTTTATCTCTCAATATGTACAATAATACGTGTTGCTAATAAAAGAATCATATAGATAACGAAAGCAAAAACAGAAGCGATGTTTTCCACAGATGAAGAAAAGAAAATACCGTTTCTTTTTATGAACAGTGGCAACGATTTGGAATACAGTCCATTGGTTTGAATCACTCACATTATATGCTTCATATCCACTTGTGAAATATTCATATATATTTTGAAATTCGAAACGTCAGTACAATATTTTACTTTATTATTAAGCTGTAATAATTACATCCGACGTGGTATTGAGAAATTATGACAAGAAAAAGGAAAGATTTTGAAATATGTAATAAATAATACGAGAAATATAAAAGAAAAATAAATTATGATAAATTTTTTAGAATAAATTTTTAGAAAAATATGATCAGCGTATTAGTCAAGAAGAAATACGACTTGCTGAAATAAAGCAACAAGCTATAATATTATTAGGAGAAATAAATGAACGTTTGCCATTTATTTCAAGATCATTTAGGAAAAGGACAAGTATTAAACTATAAAAATATAGTTGCTAAACTTTACTATCATATTGCATATACCAACAATTTAGTTAAGAACAACAAATAATAACTGATAAGATGAATATTGTAAAAGAAGTAAAATATCTTTGAGATTCAATTTGCAATCTATATTTAATATTGGTTATTCAACAAAATAGTTTACGAGAAATGTCCGAAAATGTAGTCGTACTTGTCAAAACTCAAAATTCTAATGAACAGATCAGTTATTTTGAAAAGAATGGATTTTGGATTAAGGATGGAATAAATTTAAGATCTATTAGAGTTGGAAGTATTATTCTTGAGAACATAAGATTTTATGACAAAAGTGGGCTATTTCAGAAAAATGGAAGAAATGCAAAACAAGTAGAAAGTATTACTAAAGCTGTGCATGTGCAATATAATCGCACGTCCATTAATGTAAAATATTACGTATTAAACATAAAAAGAGAACAGCTGGAACAGAATTCAGAAAAAAAGATAAATTTCTAGTAATACCTCTGATTTTGTTAATTATGCCAAAAATACTGTAAAATCGATATTTAATCAATTTAGATATGAAACATTTTTGGAATAAATAATTTACCATCAGTTCTATTTAATCTTTTATCTGAAATAATTAAATGCAATTTAGATATTTGTTTTTTATAGATCAAGCTGAATATTACATGGATGTATAAAGAAATATAGCTCGACAAGATTTTAAAAAATCTAAAAGAAAATCACTGGGAAAGTTAATTTTGAATTCCTGAGAAAATAAAAGAATTTTTTTATATTAGATATTTGTAAAAAATCGATTTTGAGTATCTTTTTTACAGTTTATTTATTATAATAAAACTACAAATCTTTGTTTTTGGTGAATTACTTGATATGTTAGCAGATAAAGATGTATTTTTAAATATTGATCAAAATTTAAAAGATATTCTTTAGTTTATAGGATACGACCTACTTCAAGAACGTTATCGTCAAGTTATTTATCGGTTTTTATTAAAAAAATGTAAATTTTTAGAAGAATTTTTTCCTCCTAGGTAATAAATTATAATTCCAAGAATTTATCAGAAAAAAAGTTATAGTATTAATTGATATAAGGAAAATCCTTATGAGAAAAAATATCTTTTATTATTGATTGAATATGATTTTTATTTTTTATTAAATTTTGATCAAAATAATATTCCTAAAATATTTGGAAAAGCAATTGTTCTTGACGAGAATTCAAGACAGTGAGGGTGGGTGAGTCTTCAGTTCGATCAGACGTACATCCGTATGCACACTCACACCCACACTCTTTGTTCCTTTAAGTATATATGAGAATAGTAGGTCCGTCGCTCGTGTGTTCACATACGATATGTACAGCGGCATAGATCCTTTCAGTAGAAGGTTAGCGACGTTTGCGTCGCGTTACTTGTAAATAAATGAAAAAAATAATAATATTCTTTTACTGTTCATTTATTTATCAAATTTGGAATTTTTATTAAAACTATAGTAAATATCTTAATTTTCTATACACTAATGTAAATTGTCTTTTCTTATATGACTTTAAAAAAAAAACGTTTAAATACATATAATATTTGCAAAGATTTTTTTTTTTATTCTTTCACGTATTCAAACAAACTTTATTAATACAAACAAAAAAAACTTATAGTCAACATATCCATATGACTTCATATCATATTATTTATTTAGTTCTATTAGACTTTTGATGATTTAATCTTTGCTGATGTGCCACGAATATTTTCAAAAGCAGAAGTAGGCACATTCGGTGTTGATGGAGTATTAAGAAAATATTTAAGAAAAAAAAATGATACAGCCATATTTACAGCCATGCCAAAAATAGAACCAAGACCATTAATTGACCTATAAATTCCATATTAGAATAATAAGATATTATGTTTTTTCTTTTAATTTCTTATCATCAAACTTACCAAACAAACCAATAGTTTGATACACAAGCACCAAAATCTACACTTGGCATTTTTTTTTCAACTTATTATAAAGTGTATTAACAACGATGTTGTGGTACTCGTTCGTTTTAAAAGTAAATAGCATTGACAAAAAAAAAACAGCCAAAGATTTATAATTTAAGCGTTTCTACGCTTCTCTCTCTCTTATTTTTTTCTTTTTTGTCCCTAAATCCAAGAAACAAAAAAAACAAAAGAAGTTTATTTTCATGTCATAATTCACAACAGTTTATTCACCTGTTTGAAAGAAAAACATTGAATACATTTTACGATCATATGCATTATTTCATTATTTAAATAAAAAAAAAAAAAGAAAGAAAAAGCTTGTTGTGAGTGTAAGACAATCTTCTTTTGAATTTGGGTAAGACAATCATGTAGAAAATAAAAATCAGGTATAAAATAAAAGATGAACGTTTGAAGCTCTATAAGACTCATTATGCAATTTAATAGTTAATCAAATTAAGTAAACTTTGACATTTATAATTAACAAAATCAAATCAAGAAATCCTTACAATTACATCAATGATAATTTATGCAAATAATTGATCATGATCTATATAAAAATACATCATTTTTTGTTCTCCTAATAAAAAGTTATATATAAGATAAAGGAAATTCTCAATATCTTTTTTTTTTAAATTAAAACAAATAAATATTCTTTATTCAATATCAATGAATAACACATGATCTCAAATGTGAGCTTTATTTAAACAAGTAGACTATACAATCGGATGTGATTTTGTCAATAGGCCATGCACATCGATAGATTACCTCACTTTATACTGCTTCTATAGGCAAATCGGATAGGACAACAAAAAAAAAAAAAAAAGAAGAAGAGAGTAAGTTAATCGTGAGTATAAATTGTTTTTTGAGTACACATTTCGTCTTCATTGTCTCTTCTTCATCAACAATAAATCTTCCGAGTAAAAATATTTACTTAACCTGAGCTTATAGCACGATTGAACAAATACAAATGATTCTTTTTATCTTTTACTTAAAAGAAAAAAGCATGCTTCAACTTTGTTTTCTCTATTTTATTTTGAGTATTCAAAGTAAGTTTCTATTATTTGTATGATAATTACTAAATGGTTTCTGTATTGTTGTTGTTGTTTTTTGTTTTGTTTTTCGTTTTATTATTTTTTTAGAAGTTGTTTCTACCAAAGATGAGTTTGTCTGTCCAAAAGATGGTCGATGGCCTCATCCATTAGATTGTGAAAAGTAAGATTTAATATTCATATCGAAAAATTATCAACATAATAAAAACAAAAATGTTATTTATATAATAGATATTATACTTGTAATTCAGGTATCAGTGTTGAAGGATGGTAAGTATAAAATCTAATTAAAAAAAAAAAAAACAATCAGATTTTATATTATAAAAGGTATTTTTATTCATTTTGTTTTTCGTTTTTTTTTTAAATTAAATTAAAAATGGAAATCTATAGTGTTTTGAAAAATAAAATCATTATTTATTGAAGACTTATTGATAGAAAACTGCATTTGAGCTAGATGCTTAACATAATACAAAAAAAGAAACTTATTATTCATAAAATCGTAGAATTTTAACCATGAACTAAGATTTGTAAATAATGAGGGCGTTTTTTTGCCAGTGTGAAAAAATTTAATACATATGCACTTTTTTCTCTAATGAAATATAGTGAAAGCTAGTTTAAACACTCTTAGCTAAATAGTCAAACAATGTTTTTTTTTCGACAACAATCAGTTTTTGTTTTCTGTTGTTTGATTGTACCATTTTGCTTTTTTTATTTATTTTTAATTGAAATAGATTTCTATTTGTAAACAGTACAGTTAAAATTGTGTTAAATTTCTCAAGTAATTTAATTAATAAAAATAATGTAAGCTTGGACTGTCCGTTGGAAGAGAAGCATTTGATTTTTCTATAAAAGATTAAAGCTTAATCATCAACTGTCAAGTAAATGAGTGTTCCTGTTTTTTTAAAGTCATTTCTATTAAGTGATTATTCAACATGATTGATTATGACTAAACATCTACGATACAAACTAATATAATAAAAACTTATATAAAATTTATTTATCACATGAGAAAACAGATTCAAATTTCAAATGGTTTTTTTTTCATATAAGTGTATCCGTTTATGATTTAAATTGACAATCAAAATTTGATTATTAATTAGTTTCATACATAATTTAAATAGGTGTGGTAGTGGTATGACTTATGATCCTGATCATCAACGATGTGATTTATCAAAAAATATTGAATGTAAAGATGGTGAAAGACCAAATTGGACACCACCAGAAGGATGTATAATAATTTTATTTATTATTAATATATATAAAATTGATTTATTTTGAATTATTAAGGGGGACAAAGTGAAAGTGTAACAAATTATATTGTAACAAAAACAACAACATTATTACATAATGATGATCATGAGAATGATGATATTGAAATAAAAAAAAAGACACGAGTATCAAAAAATCGTAAACTTACAACTAAACCAGGAACTATATCAACAAAATTAGCACGAAATCGAGTAACATTATCGATGTCTGAACTTATTGAAAATCATGATTGTACATTTCAAGGAAATATGCCTGATCTAAATAATTGTCAAGGTAATTATTTCAATAGAATTTTTATTTTATTTATTTTTTCTATTTAAGCTTATTATACATGTAAAGATGATGTTATAAAACGTATTCATTGTCCAGATAAACAATTATTTGATGAAGATACACGAATATGTAGTGATTATAGAAAAGTTTTTTGTGCAAATCGACCAGTAAATGAACGTGATATTGATCCATGTAAAATTCCTTTTTTCTTTTCTATTTTGTTTTTCAATAGAAATATTTAAAAGTTTTTAAATAGGTCTTGGTCAACAAAATGGATGGTATGCTGATAATGAAAATCAATGTCGATCATATTATTTATGTACAGAACAACGTAAAACTAAAATGGGTGAATGTTCATTAGGTTCAAAATGGAATTCACAAAAAGTTCGATGTGATGATCCAAGAAATATTGTTATACCTTGTAAAAAATTTCTTCTTTTTTTGTTTTGTATTGAAAATTTTTGTGTTTTTTTTGTTTTGTCTTCTTTTAGGTGGACTTCGAAGTAATCATGGAATATCAGTGTTTTCTCAATATTATTCGATTATAGTTATAACTTTTTCTATTTTTTTCTTCTTGTTAACATTTCCATAAATCGTTTTATGTCATATATAATAATAAAATATAATTTAGTGACGAACGTTGTTTTTTTTTCTTCTGATGTTTAATTAATAGAAAATAAAAGGATAGAACCAAGGAATAATTTGTGCTTGTATTCAGTGTATCTGCAACCTCCTGTTTGTATGCAGAACAATATTATTTGTCTGCTTAGTTCTATTTCCGAGTCATACTGTTTTCTAGCACGACGAGTTTGTTATTTTTTTGCCATATTATTTAAATAAATATATATGAAAAAAAAGAAACAAGATTAGTTTTCATGGTTCGATTCATTTTCACACATTGATATAATGTCAATTGACATTTACTATTATGTTTTTTTTTGTTTTTCTTTATTTCAATTATAAAAACTTATAATCAATCTTATCATGATTTAATTCGATAACATTTTCTTGTAAATAAATAATAGTATTAAAAAGAAAATGACTCTATAGCTTTTCTTATCATAATAACATTCTGAAATTTAAAGAGTAATTTATTTCATTTTGTTTATTTGCTTATACATATATAGTAATGATTTAGATTTTTTTCTGTTAGACAAATGAATATTTATATTTTTAATATATAATGAAAATATGATATTCATCTCAGTTTCGATTTTTACATATTATCATTCGAGGCGATATTACGTTCTTCTTCAAAGCATTCTATATCTCATAATTGCATGACAAAACCAAAAGAAAACGAAGTAAGAATCTGTGCAAGATATATAATGAGATATATATATATATATTCATTTGTTGCATAGCTTAACAAACTATTTATCTCGTGTGAATTCCATTAAAGAATAAGGGAAAAAAAAAGAAAAGTTGATTGTAACAATGGTTGATTTTTTTCTTTTTTCATGGAAAAAATCTTTTCTTTTCCGAGAACTCTATTAACATTGACGTCATAACATTTTTGAATAGGTAAAATGAGAAGAGCATACCAATAATCAAAATATGTCATAGCATTTCTATTAAGATTCAATGAAAAAAAGTACGATTAGTATCAAATAGCAGTTGATTCAAAGGGAGGAGGGAAAGAAGAAGAGAAAAGAAAAAAAAATTTCCTATTTCACTGAACTCAAAAGATATGTCAAAGTTATTCTCTAGAACTGTTTAACTATGTTAAGTCAACTATCCATATGTATTACAAATTTATTAATTCTCATTTATTTTATATAAATTTGCCTAGTAATAAATTTCAAATATTTCGATTTTATTGTCAGGCGAATACTTTTATAAAATAAACTTGAGTTAATATATTCATGATACAACATTGATAGTAGACTTAAAATCAATAATAAGTTCTGAAGAATATCTTTGACATATTCTTGGAGAGTACATTGAAGTACGAAATAGACGATTTTTTTTTTGTTCCTCTCTTTAGTTGATTATATAAACAATGAGATCATATAGAATTATATATTGTATTATTATTCTATATATACAACAGTAAATAATAAGTGCTATACGATGAATAAAAAAAAACAAAGAACAGCTGATGATAAGACCACCTAGTTCGTCCTATCTTATGAGTCATTAAATACTTGTCATATTGTAGGAATAGCAATAAATTTCTTATTCTCTTTTTGCCTTGTTTGTTGATGGTTCGATACTTACCGAATATACTTTTTTCAAGGAAACTGACATTTTACATGTATGTGATTAAATATATTATGTTTTTTTTTTATTATTTACTTTAGTTGATTTAATTGAAATACAATGAATCGAAACGATGATGATGATGGTGATGGTACTACGATTGATTCTTCAATAACAAAATCTATAAATTCAATATGTCGATCAACAAAAATAAT